TCACCACATAACCATAAGTTCTGAATTTAATCTTCAACATGATGACTGACTGGCTGGCTGGTCAGATCCCCTTCAGGACAGAATCAGACAGATCTCAGTAACAGTGTTGCCGGTTACATAGACAGATCCCAATTAGACTCTTTTCTGTGCTTGGAGTTCAATTTATCAACTCTACATTCTAAGGAGAGACACCGTTTTTATTTCAACCTTTCCTTATTTTCATTTTACTCAGTTTCAAAGCCTCCTAGTTCTTTTTCTCAAGCATTCAGGAGATCCCTCTGAAGCTCTGTGTCAGAGCATCAGGGTTGTCAATGTTCACAGAGCTCATAATCCATCACATCAAGACCTTCCTACTCCCAGTCTCGGCACAGTGGTCTCTATAACATTCTTCCTTATTGTGTCTCATGAAGTTGCTCGAGTATTTCTGCAGGGAGAATTTGCAATTCATGTCCCTTCGCCCTCAAGCTGATAACTGATCAACAGGACATGTTAAAAATCCAATTGCTGGGGGCAGTTTTAAATCTCAACCTGAATGCAAGCAAAACCTTTGATTCAATCTGCTTAATAAATCAGAGATTTGCCCTCTGTGCCAAAACTGGGGGTAGTATTTCTTGCTGTATGGGATCCCTCTGATTCTAGATCAAATAGGTAGTCTGGCTGGATATTTATTTGAATCACCACTTTGAAGAGAGTATATGCACAAGCTATTTCAACTTTCCCTCACTTAAGAAGTGAGGAAAAGGGAGAAGTTTGGAGAATAGGATCTCTTCTTCCTACTGCCGCACCTTCAATGAAACAAACCGAGTTCTTCAACAGCCCTTTATTTCCTGAGTCGAAAAAAGATAAACTCAGAACAATACTTTAGGTTGCACCAAGACATTAGAACAAGCGGACATGGGTTTAGAGTTGCAATGGGCAATTTCAGGACAGACACCAGGAAGTGTTTCATTACCCAGAGGGTAATAACTGGAACAGGTTGCCAGAAAGGGTGGTTGAAACCAGGACACTTGACTCAGTTTTAAAAAAAAGCTTGAGGCTCTGACAGGAGGATGGTAGGGTGAGTGTTCTGGAAGGATGAGATTAAATGGGCCTTCTTTATCTGAACTGATCTTGTGAGTCCATAGTTATCTTCATCATCCTTGCTTGTATCAGAAGATGGATTCTCATGACATGGTTTAAGCCATGAGCCCAGTGAGTTATAGTCCTCTGTGGTGAGTGTTTTTTGCAGATATATTTGAGGAGAGGACAGGGATTTTCGTCACCCCATTGTAGGCAGAATGTGAAGGCCATAGAGAGGATGGAGAGGAGATTTACCAGGATGATACTAACGGTGAGTGGTTTGACGTATGAGCAGAGACTAGAGAAACTGGACCCTTATAGAGAAACAGAAGATTGAGGGAAAACCTGATAGAGTACTTTCAAATTATGAAGTTTTGATAGAGTCGGTAGGGAGAAATTTCCACTGGCCAGTGAGTCAGGGCATCAATTTAAATAGTTAGAAAGAAAGCAAAGGGAGAGATTAGGAGGATTTTAATTTACACAGAATTTTTAGTACATAGTATCCACACCCACATCCTCAGCTTTCCCCCAGCCCAGTTGGGTGAAGTGCTTTGAGACGTCCTCCCGACATGAAAGGCACTAGATAAATATATATATAATATATATAAATATAATTTGTTGCTGTTTCTAAATCAGAGTCTCAATGACATATCCAAGGGTCCATGTGCTTACCTCATTGTCATTCATTACCAGAGATCTGTTTAACTCATTAACTCATTGCTTGTCGGCCTCCCCAACTCCTCCCTCCATAGATTGCAGATCATCCAGAACTCTGCAGCCCGTGTCCTTTCCCACACCAGGCTCCACGACCCTATCACCCCCATCCTTGCCCAACTCCACTGGCTTTCCATCACACAGAGGATATAGTTCAAGTTCCTGGTCCTCACCTTCAAAGCCCACCATGGTCTTGCTGCCCCCTACCTCTATGACCTCCTAATCTCCTGCCATCCTGCTTGCTCCCTCCCCTCAGTGGGCTCTGGCCTGCTTCAAGTCCCCCGCCTCGTTCGCCCCACTATTGGCGGGCGGGCCTTCCGCCACTCTGCCCCCACCCTCTGGAACTCCATCCCACAGTCCTTCCACCTTGCCCCCCCCGCCACCTTCAAGACCCATCCCAAGACCCTCCTCTTTGACCGTGCTTTCGATCTCCCTGCCTCCCCCCCTCTGCCCTCCACCCTCTCCGACCCCTGACCCCCAGCTCGGGTCCGTAACTCTGTCTGTCCAGCACCCTGGGACATCCTCCCGACGTGAAAGACCCTTTACAAATATAATTTTGTTGTTGTTGTTTAAACTGACAGGCACATTTACTAATGGTCCCTCACATTTGAAAGAAGAAACTGATCGAAACATTGGCATCAAAAAGGTTGAGAATCCCCAGGCATAGACAATCCTAGAGTGGAAATCAGGTTGAATTCGTAGCTCATGTCCTGAATGTTTTATGTGCCAAATAGATGAGAGCAAATTGCGTTCCAGCTATGTTCAGCTGTAAAACCAAACTCCATGTCTTCCTGTTTGGTTGTCCCTGATATTTAATTTGCTCTTTCAGTTCTCTTTCTGCATCTGATCCTGAGTGGCCTGTTGCTGCTGCCTCCTATTCAACTGACTTTCTCTCGATCAGTGGCTTTTGAAAGTATGTTCCTCCACTGGCCTGTCTCATCACCACCATCAGTCACATACACACACTTCTCTTAAGTGAGAGAAGTCATTTATCTGCACCACATCCAGCATCAATCACACGTCACTGTTGGTGACAGGGGAGACAGTCTCTGTCCCACAGCATCTCTAGACTGATCCCAGGAAAGCTGCTTTTAATAAGAATAATGCCAGGGTAAATATTTGTTGTCCTCCTGGAGCCCATATCAAGCATCTGGAGATTGCACAGCAGGACTGTCATTCACTGTCCCTCTCTCTGTGGGGCCAAACCAAAGAAACTGTGGTCCCACCTGGCAGGGAGCAATTACATCAAAGGAAGACATGGTGAGTAGAGAGTCCCCAAAATATAATGGTGTTAGAATGGGATCTAACCATTAGACATCCTGAGTGAGGACACCAAAGAGAACTCTGCTTACTTTTCGGAATTAGGTAAGCAGGATGGAAACCCATCACCATGCTTCAGCGTATCCAAACCAAACTAAGAATTTCATACATCTCACCTATACATGGAAATTCCAGATATAGATTATTGAAACAGAATGTACACTCTCCCTGGAGTGACAGATCCTGCTTAACTAATCTCAGAGAGTATTAGGCACAGGTTGGCAAGAGCCAAGGCTTGAGGACACCAAAGTGTGCGTTGGGGTACTGCTGGAGTCCAACCAGGAATACCCCAACGCACACTTTGGGGTTCCCAAGCTCAAAACCGCATAGCTTATCATTTATTATGAGAAGTTATTATTATTTTGCACATATACACACACATACACAATCTGTTTTCAATGTGGGTGTAGCCAAGTTGTATTTCGGCTGACAGAGAGATCGCAGTTTTACTCTGTGCTTATTGCTTAGGAATTTCTAAATTAATAGGGTAAAATTCCACCTAGGTGTAGTTACGTATGTTCTACTTTTGTAGCATCCAAAATTTGGCGAATTGCTGGACTCAGCCTTAACTTTGAAACTGGGTTTTGTTTATGATCTTCAACGAAAGTACAGAAAATAGAATAAATCCAGACCTAGGTGAAATCATCCTATGTAGACTTCAGCTCAGACTGATCTGTAGTCAAAATGTACAATAGATAATCTTTGATATTCTGCTTAATTGAAAAAAGGGGCTTTGAGTGGACAGATTTAGATATAAGGTGATGGTACAATCCTGGTTATAATAAAAACCAAAATGTAAGAGAGACGTACAGCTCATACGTTTGTTAGATGATGATGTGATTAGAAGCTTCTGAAGGCTTCACTATGCTCCTAATAGGAGCTTGTATCCTTCCGAGTGCAGAATTCTTGGCAGCTTTCACAATGCAGCCACCTTTTCTTATCTGAGTAAAAACATTTCATGTGAATTTTTAATGTATTATCAAGCAGGAATTGAACAATCCACAGATCTGAAGGACGTTCCTCATCTTGTGTTTTTGGACAAACTATAATCCAATTCTGTTTTTTTTTCTTTCTCAGGCTTTCAGAGCAGAAATTGTATCACATTCCCAAATGAGATTAGTTCGGGAGTCTACTGAATGGTTTTATCAATATTGAACTAGCACAAATTCGAGGATGCTAAAATATGTGGTTAATAATTAAGAGAGAACTCAAAGACATTTAAGCATTTCAGCAAAAAATACATAATTGATAGGGCTGAAATTAGAGCATGTCCTGCAAGCCAAGGTTTTAGCTCATTGTAAACCTTCTCTCTAGGCCTTGGGCCATCAAAGATGTGCAATAATTCAGAGTCAAAAGGAGTTTGCGGGTTTTGACAGGTTAGGTCACTGCAATGTATTAGTATCTGAATTCCTCTCATTGTCGGAACTGTGTGGTGAGGCACGTGATTCCCTTTTGCATGTGGCTATGGTATTGTGTCGGTCATAAGAACCTTGGCTAGTCACAAGCCTAACCCAATAAGCACTGAAACTCCGGCAATATTGTGACAAAGGTAGATGGATGGAAAAACAAAGAATGTAAAAAATCAACATGAATTTTATTTCTTTTAAAATCTCCATTTAAAATTTAAAATTATCCAACCACATGATATTGCTTTGAATGCATTTTCCACTCATCGTTAGTCTGAGTGAGATGTGATGTTATAATTGGATTTAATTATACAGCATTTTAATCAATTTATATGTACTACGTTTTTGTAATTGAGCGTCCTCTCTTATAAAATGCCTCCATAGAGTAGCACATTTTAATCTCAAATGAAATCCTTACGTAAAGGCCATAATTAGCCTGAGTAATGTGTGAAGGTTACTAACAATGTGTTGCACATTAATGCCATTGCTGTTGTTTTTCAGTTGGTTAATAATCCTCTGGCAAGTCAAGCAGCAGCAGCAATGGGTTCCATGGCTGGTTCACAGGCCTTCAGCAACGCACTCTCCAGCCTGCAAGGGGTGACCTCTCAGCTAGTCACGAATGCACAAGGCCAGGTGAGTCAAGCCACTATGAATTCTTAATGACGGAAAATCATGCTCCCCAAAAAAGCTAATATCGCCATGAAAACATTCTCTGCAAAGGCACAAAGACTCTCCTTTCAGAACTGACAATTTCACAAAACAACACTTTGAAAAAAAACACATGCCTTTTAATTTTGATTTCTATTTTGCAAAGGACTTGCCTTGGATTTCATGATCATTAGAAACATTGAGAAATAACCTTGTTTTCTATTGTGATGGAATTGGAGGCTGGAGCATTTTATTATTAGTGCTTGTTACAGTTATGTCACGCTTACAAAATGCTGACAAATATTTTGATATATAAAAGACCCTTTGAGCAAAATCTAATATAGGCAAAGATATATTTTGAGTAACAGTAAATTGCTGACCTTGTCATCTTTACTGGGTGGGTACAGAATTGCTCCATCAGTACTCAGAGGGTTGAACGATGAACCTTGTCACAGTGGAGCATGATCCAATGAATCATCTTATCTCAGGTGCACACAGCGCCCATTAAAGGAAGATTGTCTGAACAATGTGCCTTCCACTCCATCCCTTGTTTATCAGCTTACCTTAACCTTTACGTTACATCCATTGCCATTCCAGAGAACCTTAAATGTGACGGTATTAAATCCGCATGCTCTGCTTGAGTGATTTGCATCAATCTGTGCATGATTTAAAGCTGTCGTTTGTTGCCAACAATGGGGTTGAGAATGTGATATTGAATTACGGGGTTCAATGTGTAAAAAAATCAGGAATACATTCTGATCCCAAAGGCAGTTTGGGGGCCAGCCTTTTGGTTTCCGATCCCTGGTCTGCGTTTTCAATTGTTTTCTCGGTCCAGATGTCACATTTTCACTTCACCTTGACTATTTTAAATGAATGTCTCTAAATTTAACATCAATCACTTAGGCCCAGTCTATACTTGCAAAACAACTCGGTAGAAACTTTTGTGCGCAATGCGTGATCACAAAGGAAATCAGACTAGAGCTGGGCTGAGGTTACACCACAACATCAATTCACACCACTGCTGTATAAATCCAGGTGGGAACGCTCTCAACTTCTGCTGGAAAAATTCCCTTCCATGAAGAAAATCTTTAAATTTCATAGCAACTTAGCACCTTAAGTCATCTCAAAGCACCTCACAGGTCATTTCTGTCCAATCAGTGATTGTTGTTGTTGGCAAACACACCAGCCATTTGCACATAATACTCTATTCTTGATGGGGGGATAGGAGGTAAGCGACATCTCCTTGGAGCTGAAGTGGCTCCACAATGACATGCTTGGAAAAGGAATATAGGAATGGTCTCGGTAGTCCGATTCCTGAGCCGGGCAGGTTCGCAGTATTCAGGGGCACAGCTGATCACAGACCAGCCAGCCTGGCTCATCGGCAGGACTTAGAGGATCAGACTGAGGGCAGGGACTCTTCCAACTCAGCTCCTATTAATTCTGCAAACCAAAGCCCTAACAGTTAGGGTGATCCTAAATGGACAATGTGGAGTCCTGTAGCTCAGTGGTTAGAGCACTCGCTTTGCAAGTGAGAGACCTGAGTTCAATTCCAGGCAGGGGGAAACCTTGGGCAAGTTTCCTTACTCCACACGCCTAATAATAATCCCTCCAAAACAAAACAATAATAAATTGGTCATTTTCAATCTACGACTGTTTGTGGGACATTGCTGTGCGCAATTGGCTGCCGCGTTCGCCCACAAATATACAGTCAATTCACTTTACAGTGTATTCTGGTAATGCCATTTGCACAGCAGGCTCTTTAATAACATTAAAACCTAATGTTGGTTAGTGGAGCCCTGGAGGTACATAGCTCCTCTCAGCCCCACGCCAAAGATATTGGGAGTGGTTAAGTATAAATCCTGTTCTCTGTTACAAATCCTTCTTCTACTGGGAGCAATGCACCATTACTTACAACATTATTAGATCTTCAGGCACTTCCCTTTTATTATGTCTGTTCTGTGAGGTTAAGTGTAGTTGTGGGACCTGCATGGTTACGTCCTGCAATACTGACTTCTCTTGGTCAGAGGAATAGTTTGCAGAACTTTTCCTTTTTTACTTGTATGAACGAGGAGTGGTATTTATAGCAGAAACTACTTCAATCTGGGATGCAAGCATCCCCACTGACAGGTTTCTAATTCCCTGATGTTTGGACAGACTTGTCAGGGCCACCACAGCTGAGTGCAAGCTCAACACAATTAAACTCTCTGAATTACACATGTATAGTGTCAGAAAGGAAGGAGAAAGGAGTCCTGCAGTTCAGTGGTTAGAGCACTCGCCTCTCAAGCGCGAGACCTGGATTCAATTCCCGGCAGGCAGGGTGAAACATTGGACAAGTTTCCTTCCTCCACACGGCTCTGCTTACCTTGCAATAACTAGGAGCCTGGTTGTTAGTCGATTGGCGGATTGCTTTTCCAGGGGTAATAATTCCTTCAAAAATAAATAAACTGGTCACTCAATCCACGACTGATGTGGGACACTGCTGTGCGCGGTTTGCACACAAAATATAGTCAATTCACTTTACAGTATATTTTGTGAAGCACTTTGAGACGTCTCAAAGACATGATAAGGCGCTATGTCAAATGCAAGGAATATTATTATTATAGTACCTATTATGAGAGGTTTCATACAAGTCAGCTTCTGCAACATTATTCGCACAGTGGTCAACTCCAGGTAGTTGAATCTAACTTTGTCTGAGATTTTTATTATGTTAATCACTGTAAAGTCTGCTGCATTGGCTCTTTATCCATTGAAAGCAACCCTGTGAACTGCTCAATAATTTCTGTGACACTGGGCTACTAAGGGTTTCTCAGTACCACCTGTGTGGACTGTGTGTAGAGCTAATGTTCCACAGCAGTTGCTCTTGTCTGACCTCCATCAGCATAAGTTTAGGAATATGCCTCTCACCATGAATAATACCCACCTGTAGAAAGAAGAAAATCTTCGTGAATCCCTCTGACACATTGTCCTATGTAAAGGGGCTACATCAATGCAAGTTGTGGGTTTATGTCCCAATTTTATGCTTTTTCCAGTGTTTAATTTTTTTCACATGGAAGGTTGCTTTATATGTGCAAGTTATTACTGCCTCAACAATCACTCACATTAAAGAGCATTTAACAGTGTCAGAACACGTCGCCGGCCGGTGGGGAGGTGGAGTTATTACTATCGGAGTCACACAGGATTCACAAATAGCGACTCCTGCCAGTAGCAGGAAGTGTGTCATGCCGACCTGCAGGATCGCCACTCTGACACCAATCTACTTCCTGTCCACGGATCAGCGTGACACGATTCTGGTCACCGACAGCTCAAATCTCATGCAACTCCATCTGTGAAAATCTTGTGTGTTTTTTACCCTCATCGTGAACTTCTTACTGTGAAAAAGAAGGTGCTCTTGAGTTGTTATCCTTTGAAAAATAAGTACACTCTGCTTGCTTGCTTGCTTGCTTGCTTGCTTTTCTTTCTTTCTTTCTTTCTTTCTTTCTTTCTTTCTTTCTTTCTTTCTTTCTTTCTTTCTTTCTTTCTTTCTTTCTTTCTTTCTTTCTTTCTTTCTTTCTTTCTTTCTTTCTTTCTTTCTTTCTTTCTTTCTTTCTTTCTTTCCTTCTTTCTTTCCTTCTTTCTTTCCTTCTTTTTCTTTCTTTGAGACGTTAAACCAAGTTCCAGTCTGCCTGAGGAACCAAGTGGATGCTAAATATCAAATGGCATTGCTTGAAAATTGGAATTTCTACCAGTGTCCCGGCCAATAATCCCCCAAATAAAATTGGTCAATCACTTCATGGCTGTTTGTGAGACATTGCTGTGTCTGCCACATTTGCCCACCAGTACTAAGACCAACACCAGTATCAATACCAACCCCAGTGATTGTAGAAGAACTGGACACAATGCCCAACTCAATTCTAAAATGTGATCTCTGTTCCCACAGGTAAGGCAAACTGGATAAAACTCATGAACGGTAGTTCGTGAGCTCTGGTCCCTCTCTGATATGGAATTTGATGATGCACTAGATCTCAGTTCTACCTAGCTCTCATTGTTGAAAATGTTGTTAACTTTTTAAATTACATTTACATTGACGTTTCCTTTAATCTGTTATATGTTCATTGAGAGAGGAATAATCTAACTGTGTCAAATCAGTGGCATTCCCAATGAAAGCATAGGAAACACCAAATCATAAGATTACTGCATTATAAATGGATCATCCACACATCTATAAGTCTCTTTTCAAGGCATGAAGATCCCTGACTTCACAAGATCACAGAATTAGTTTTAAAAAAGGCCCTTCAGATCCTCGGATCTCATCCTTCCAGAATACCCACCCCACCATCCTTACATCACAGCACAAAGCTGTTTTTCAAATGAGTCTTGTTTTCTGGCTTCTACTTCACCTCCTGGCAACCTGTTCTAATCGTTAATTATATTCTAGGTAAAGGAAACTTCCTGGTGTCTCTTGAAATTGTCCATTACAATTCTATCTAGTCTTTCTTCAGATCTGATTGCTCTAACAATGAGCATAATTTTCACTGTTCTCTGCAGGACCTGGTGAGTCCATTATATGACAATGAACAGAACTGTACCCTCTACTCAAGGTGTGGCCTGACCAGGATACCTTGAGCATGACTTGTGGGGGAACTGAACTCAACTGATTTGCCAATGAAGCTTGGGGCAGTTTGTTCAGTTGTTTATTGCTGCCTCACACAGTTTGGATACGGTATAGGGTGTGTCAACTTCCACTCCATTCTCTTTCAACTTTCCTTTTGGCAAGTTGAATCCCATCAATGGAGGTAGATGAGTGATTCTGTCTCATTAATGTGCCTCCTATTTTTGCTACTTAAATACATTTGTTTCCAAGGCCTTAGAAACGTTACTATAAAATGTAAGATTTTGGAAATGTTTTAAATTCGGTCTTAATTTAGAAGCAATTCTTTTCAAGAATGTTGCAAAGCCAATTTCCAAATTATTAATGAATATAAAGAATTTTCCACAATTCTGTGCAG